AATTGATGATATATTCCATGCAAAATCTGGAGTCTGTTACATTTGGTTAACAAACCAAATATTAACCCTTCTCCAAGATAAAAAAGAAAAGAAAAAAGCCCTCTGAACTAAGGGTCCATATTGCCCTTCTCAAAGAAACTGTAAGACCAAATCCACTTTGTTTTAATCAGCCTTACCCAAAGATTAAGACTTTTTACAAAGAACAATTTGTGAGACCTGTCAAGGTACTTTTCAGGATAGCCTGTAATGCCAGCCTCACCATCCAAACTCTATTGTACCAACATGTTTTACACTTTCTTGCCTTTGACCTTGTCTGCCCCCCCCTTCTATGATGCCCTCTGGAACTTTTGCTCTGTGACCAATACTACCTTATATCCTCCACTTCTGAGTGGTCCCTTCATCCTCTTTCCTCAACGGAAATCTGGATCTCCACTGAGGGCTCTGCTTCCCTTGTTGTACTCTCAACTGGATATTTTTGTTTGGTTTTGTTTTTAAATATTTTCATCCCTTTCAAACCTCAGGGCCAGAAGAGTAGTGTTTTCCCTGGTTTCTATTGCCACTTCTAGACTATTATTTCTCCACCTTCTTGTAAAAAGCAGGCGAACCAACAAAATTTGTTCTCAATCCTGGAGGCTTAGGTAATTTGACAGTATTGTCATCTACCAGTCTCCCATTTACTCTCCCTAAATTATCGGAGATAAGATAACACAGCAGCTACTGTGTATTCTAAATCCTGCCATAATCCTGGGTGACTTCATAACAACATAAATGGCCATTCAACAGTCTGACTTCTGAATTTTTTTAGTCTTTTTCATCACCAGATCTACCCCTCCACTTCTCCAGTGCCTCGCATTACCATGATTACACCTTGGATTTTGTCATCACCTATAACTACTCTAATTCCAAAATTGCTAATTCAATTATACCACTCTCTGACCATAATCTCTAATTTCCTCTCCTGACTTGCTTAACTATATCCTTTATGATTATTCTTTGAACTCAACAGATCATCCAGTCCTTTGATCCCTCTTCCCTACCCTAATCCCTCACTTCTCTCTTTCTTCTTTCCCTCTAGATCCAACTTAAAGTGCATTAGAATCACACTCTTGTTAATATCCCAAACTTCCTTCTTTTTCTGTCGTTTCCTTTTACCTTCTCATAAAATCTCAGTCCTGCATGAAATCAACATTTTCCTTATTACCTGACTGCCAGCAGTCTAATTGTTCTGGACTGAATGCTTGTGTTCCCCCCAAATTCATACATTGAGGTCCTAACCCCCAATGTAATGGTATTTGGAGATGGAGCCTTTGGGAGGTAATTAGGGTTAGATGAGGTCATGCAGGTGGGCCCTAAAGATGAGCTTAGTGCCCTTATAAGAAGAGACACCAGAGAGCTTGCTCTCTCTCTCGCAATCCAAAGAAACAAATCGGCTAGCGCCTTGGTCTTGGACTTCCCAGCCTCTAGAACTGTGAGAAAAAAATCTCTGTTGTTTAAGCCACCCAGACTATGGCATTTTGTTATGGCAGCCCGAGCTGACTGAGACACTAACAATGCTGAAGAAAGTCACACAATAGGGTGGATGTGTCTCATTGTAAATTCATCATCACCAATCTCAAATCAGTCCTCAAACACTGACCAAGAGTCCTAAATATCATTAGTCAACTACTCTTTTATAGTGAATAAGTGGACTTATTCACTATAAAAGGACTATTTGAATCTTTCAGCTGGTGACATTTCTTTTATTTTACAGAAAAAGCAGAATTTATCAGATGGGAACTTCCTTGACTTTCTAATAATAAAAGCTCAAAGCTACTTATGTCTGCATCCATACTCCCACCCTTCTCTGTGGTTACAGTTGAGAATTAGTAGCTTTAACCAAAGCTCAATCCATCCATCTGTGTCTTGGATCCCATTGCTTTTCTGCATTCTCACTGCTGATCATTTTTTCTCCCTCTTGCATTATTAACCTTTCCCTCCCGGTGGGTTCATTCCATCAGCTTTAGAATGTGCTCCAGTCACTTCCATGAAAAGTAACAACACAACAGTAGGGAGAAAATGCCAACATCCGTTTCTACTCAATATTCCCCTATGCCACTCCCCTTTGTTTCTCCCCATTCACAAAAACTTTTTAAAAGAGTTGTGTGATTCTCACTTCCCACTGACTCTTTTACTCTCTCCTATTTGACTTAGACCGTCATTATCCTACTGAAACAGTTCTTATTGATCTGCAGGAGTACTGTATATATAAAGGAAATTAGCTTTTTGTCCATGATATGAGTTTCAAATGTGTTTTCTCAGCCTGTCTATTTTCCTTCAATTTTGTTTATGGTGAAACTTGCTTTGTGGATTAAAAAAATTTTTTTGTGTGTCTTCAATTGTATCTGTCTTTTCTATATGGCTGCTAGGTTTGGGCATACTTAGTCCACTTCTTCTTTGAGATTAAAATAAATGATGGTTTGGTAATCTCCCTAATGTATAGAATTTTAGATTTGAGGACATTTTATATGTTACAGTTGTAATTTTGTCTTTTTTGATGAGAAGAAGGAGGAGAGTGGGAGAATGATGAATGAGTATGGTCTTCCCATTTACTTCTACAGAATTCTTATAGGTTAATATAGGCATCTACTGTTTTCATTATTTTTAGTGTGAGTCTTTTTATATCTCTGAATAACTTTTGTACAAATGCTCAGATAAGTAAAATAAAGAATTGCAATAGGTGCTGAAAGAGATTAAAAAAGTAGTGTGAAAACTCATGTGGCTCTATATTAGTGGTACAATACGTTGTACTGGATATAATGGATTAATTATCTCTAGATTAGTAATGTAGAGAAAGAATGAGACCCAGGAAATACTGCTCAGGATAATAAAGAAAAAGCTTTATCAAATAAGGCCACCATGTGGCAGTTTAATGATACACTGTACATACAATGGCTTAAGGCAAGATCTTGTTCAGCAAGTACCAATGTCAACTGACTCCCCCTAAAAGTAGCATTTGAAAAGTAGCATTATTACCTAATCATCTAAGACGGAGGTTTACTAAGTCCTCAGTCATGAATTCATAGTACAAATAACATGAAAATGTAACTGAGGCTAGAAAGCCACTTTTGAGAACAATGACAACTCACTGTTCTCTGTTTGATATGACCACTCAGTTTTGTTGTCTTGATAAGTGTTTCAGGCATGTGTCTCTCTCTCCTGCAGGACAAACCAGCATGGATGTCTAGGAATTTTCTTGATAATTGTTGGCTTTCCACTCTTTCCCCTATGTAGTTTTAATCTGTGTTAAAAAGACAAGAACAATTTCAATTTGAGTAGAATTTGTCACTGCCTGTGCAACTGTTTGGCTGAGACTGCCTGCACAGCCAGTGCATCTGTTTCCTGATGGCTACTTCTGAATTCAAACTGTTGGGCTAGCAAGAAGAGACAGGTTAAGGTGGAGCTTCTAGGAGGGCAAAGCTCCTTACAAGTCTCTGTCTCCAGAGAGCAGACAAGAAATGTTTGGAGACAAGTGCACTGACCTAAAAAACCCTCCCACTTTCATTAAAGTGAAAGATAAAGTTTGAAGTCTGTCTAAATTATTTTCTTGTACTTTTAATGTGTGAATATGTATTGTAGTAAACTAGTTAAGACAAATATTTTTTCTTACACAGATTTTGATTCTACTATGATTAGACTTAGTAGCTGAAAGGCTCATATAATATGATAATATATGAGAAGTACAGAGGTATTTGGAGTAAACTGTATATCCTATAACATTCTTTGACAGAATCTTCAAAACCAGAGCTGGAAGGTATATGGATTTTGGGGCCAACCAAACAGTAAAATATTGCCAAATGTGACTTCAAGTTAACGAACATTGATTGAGAACCTGTTCTACGCACAGCCCGTGCTAGGCCCCACGGGGACAGTAGTCATTAAGTAAAATCTGGGCATACTGATGCAAAGAAGGTCGAAGGCCGACTTAAGTGAGTGCCAGAGACCCGGGCGAAGCCAGCACCTTCCCGCGGGGACGGCCTGAGGGGTGGAGCAGCTCTGGAAAGTGGGCGCGAGGTTCCGAACCCGCGCGACGAGGGCGGCGCTCCCGGCCTCTGTCAGGGAGCAGCGGGCCCGGCCAAGGCCGAAGTGCCCCTAGGCTCACCGTCCCCCTCGCCCAGTCCCGGTCACTGCCCAGGCCGGAGCAGGGCGAGGGCAAGACTGGACACTCGCACCGCGCTCGTTCTCACGCGGGCGGTCAGTCCCCGCTGCAGGCCTGCTGGCGCTGGGGTAGGGGCGACGTGGCGGGGAGGGTCACGAAATCCCACCACAGACGCCCCAAGAGGGGCATTCCAGGGGCAATTTCCCTCCTCGGCTATTTGTCGCTGCTTTATCAGGCAGGGGAGGGTTGGGACGAAGGGAACCCCCCTCCCTTCCTGGGAGTCGGGCCCTGGGTCGGGTGCGGGAGCCGGCGCCGCCGCGTTCTCGGCGCTGCTGCGACAGATGCCACAGGACCTGGGAGTCGGCTTCCGGGAAAGTGATCAGCCTTTGAAGCTAGAGATCCCAGCAGTTAGGCTAGAGTCGGTGATCCGCCCGGGCCTCTCGCGGGCTCCGCACCTCACGAGCCCGGTGCGAACAGCAGCGCGGCTCCCCTGCGTGCCGACCGTGTGCAGCACACGGGCTGCAAGCGCGAGCCCGGCGCCCTGACAGCTGCCCACGCGCCGGGGCGGGGCTCGAGCACGTCCCTTTAACTGTCCGCTGGCCGGCCCCGCCCCTCGCGCGCCGTGATTGGCTGCGGTGAAGCTGCGTGCCCCAGTAGTCGCAGGGGGGCGGAGCTGCTCGCGCGAGTCCAGTGGCCTCACCTCAGCTGCCGTGGCTGGAGCGCGCGTGTCGGCCGAGTGCGGGTGGTTGGGGGTGTGGGGCGTGCGGGCGCGCGCTGCCGCAGCTCAGGTCCCTCGGGAAGTAGGGGAGTGCCTGACGCGGACCCGCACGCGCTGCCCGGCGACCGGCGGCGCGCGCGAGGGCGGGGGTGGTGCGTGCGTGTGTGCGCGTGAGTGTGTGTGTGTGTGGTGTGGAGCTCGGGTGCGAGCAAGAGCTGTCAGTCCCCGGTGCGAGTCCCCCGCCGTCTTCCACACCCTTCCTCCGTCTCCGCTCCTTCCCTACGACGCTCCCGCGGCCCCACGGACACACACGAGGGGGAGCTCGGGGAAGCAGGTGTGGGGGGCGGGCGGGGTCGCGCGAGACAAAAGGGAGCGGGGTCAGCCCGCCATGGCCTCCCGAAGCCTGGGGGGCCTGAGCGGAAGCCGCTGCGGGGGCGGCGGCAGCGGCAGCGGCGGCAAGAAGAGCCTGAGCGCCCGCAACGCTGCGGTGGAGAGGAGGAACCTGATCACGGTGTGCAGGTACGGCGCGGCCCGCCGCTCGGGAGCGGGGAGGAGGCCGCCGGCGCCGCGGGCAAGGGCTTTGGGCGAGCGCGCGAGCCCCTGGGGGCCCGGAGCCGGGGGGCTGTAGCCCCAGCGCCCCAGCCTCTGCCGCGCGGCGTGTCCGCGGCCGGAGCGCCCCGAGGGGGCCCGAGCCTGGGCGCCGGCGAGGCCCCGGACTTTTCCGTCAGTCCCAGGGCTGGAAGCAGCCGAGGGTAGGGCTTGGGGCGGGGCTGGGGGAGGATCTGTTCTGAGTGTGCGACCTGGTGTCAGAGAAAGGAGGAGGGCGGGGAGCAGGAGCTCTGGCGTGCAGTGCGCGGAACGCCGTCAGCCAGCGTTTGGTCAGGTGGTGGTTACCGTGATTGTTTACTGTGTTGCTCAAAAGCCGAGTGCATTTTGTTTTTGTTTGGCTTGTTTACATATAAATTCAGTCCTTTCCTGCCATGAATACTGAGTGCCTGCTATAACCCAGCCAAGTGTGTGTGTGTGTGCTTGCTACAAGTCAAGCAAGTGTGTGTGTGTATGTGCGCGCGCGTGTGTATCCCTCTCCACTTTTAAATTGCAGTGCTAGTGCTGTTTTCTGCAGTTGTCAAGAGTCGGCCTGTGGAGGACACGTAGTCTTCGTGTCAGTGATTTATTCCAAGGTCTGCCTTTCCTTAGATGTTTTCTGATTACAAATGTAGTATTCCCTTACTCTGGAAGATATAGAAACATAAAAGGAATAGTTTCCATGAGTCTAGTATGCAGAAATAACTGATTTTAACATGATGATTTATTTTCTTTAGGTCTTATTTCTGAGTATTAAAAAGAATTGAAGTCCTAGCCATCCTTTTCTTAGGAACTTCTTTGAACCATTAAGTTGTTTTAAAATTACTTTGTTCCATGGAACCCCTCATCATCAGCCATGGATAATCTTCTAAGAATCAGAGTATGATGAAACCTTCTCTTCCTTTGCAATTTGTATCTATATTCTTCTCTTTTCTTTGCGTAAAAATGTCTCTAGCCTCTTAAGCAGACTACAGATATTTATACTAGGACTTATATTCAATAACTTTGAGTGACTTTTTGTTTTTTTAACTAGAAGTATTACAGATATTCACCTGTCTAGCAGGAAGACCTGCGTCACTGACTGTTATGGCACTTTGAGCTGTAAACAGTAAAATAATATGGAATCTGTTTAATTTACCATTTGTGCTGTCTAGGATGCAACTTTTTGAGAAAGACTATGAAATTTTTGTAAATCTAGGCAAATCTTTTTGTTGTTGTTAGGTAAATAGAACAATAAGAAAGGCTGATTTTCTTACCTTTATTTTACAGATGTTAAAGAGAATTATTTTTTTAAAAAGAGGATGGTCTCGAGCAGGCTCCAACATATACAGTGCTTCTTGGGATAGTGTATTTCATAAAACCTCCATCAGAGTTAAACTTCACAGAGCAGCGACCTTTAGTATTTGCTTAGTTGTCATCCTTTTTTAAGATTCTTACTTCCTGCTATAGCATCTGACACTCAGTAAATATTCATTGAATGAGTAAATTCAGTGGTAGGTACTATTCCTTTTGCTTTTCCATGTTTGTCATGGCTGGTTTTAGGTCATTTAATGTTCATTTGCTCCCTCGTCAGAGGCAGTTAAGGAGAGGAAAGAGACTTATACCTCAACCTTGCTTAAATTACATTTTCTCGTCTGTAAAATAATCTTGGACTAAATCATTGGTAACCTTCAAGACAGCCCTAAAAGTAATAATAGCCTTCAAGCAAAATGTGCTCATATTTGGTTTTGAATTTCTCCAAATACTAGCGGGGAACGGTAGACATAAGTTTAATGGTAGCTAGATGAGGCATGTGCATTTTTCTCTATAAACAAAAACATTTTGAACTCTGCCTTCCATTTTGTGATTCCTTACTGATGTTCTAGAAAAATTGAACAGTTTTCAAAAGCAAACCAAAGTGCCCCCACTATTGTTCTGTCTGTTAATACTCATACAGTAATGCTTTTCCTTACCTATGGAACAACTTAGACATACTCTCAGTTTAGGTTTAAAACCTTATAACTACACAATTCTTTAGGTTTAAAAACGCCTGATACAAGAACAATATTATTAGAGTTGCAACTTTGGAAGGGGGTTGTTTGGTTAGGTAGGAAAGTCAGGAATTGAATTGATTGAATATCGGTTCATTGTGATTGTAATTATTTCATCAGTTTTTGTTTTCAGTTAACATTTATATATTGTAGACTAAAAACACTTGGATGGTACTTATCTCAGCAAATAAGTAGTTTTATCATATTTTTCACGGATTGTAGTGGAGAGAAAGTAGGTCATTTGAGGCCTCTTAAATATTCTACACTCAACTCTGAAATATTCATAGACTGACTTTGGTTCTGTGCACCAATTACCATTTTCCCTGCAAATTCTCTACCATTTAGAACTTTGAGAAATTAAATTGTTAAAGTCTTTCAGGCTTTTTTTTTTAACCTGCATTTTTCACCCATAGAAAACCAGGTATCAGTCATTTTTTCTGTCAATTTTAAGCTTCATAGATTATTGAAAAGCTTACATGTTTCTTTGATTTTAGTTCTGTTGACAAAGCGAGTTACAATCTAAATTCTCTTTCTATGAGTTAACATTGTTTTATGAGAAAATTATAAAATATACATGTTTAAATATATATGCATAAAAAGATTTAAAAATAACATTTGTTACATTTTTAAATCAATACTTTAAGAGAAACTCCCCACAAAATGTCATAATTTTCCTGTCTTGTGGATAGAAAGGACTAATGAGCGATTTAAGGAGATAATGTGATGAGCTAAGCAGAGTAGAGACAAATGATGATTTTCAAAATTAAAGTACTTTTAATAACATGTACATAGTTGTTCTTAGTTTCTTATAGGTCAAGATACTTTTTCATAACTTGAATGTTATTTCAATTAACAGTAGCACCTCATTTTTCCAGTGTAGTCAGAGAACGAGATGCTGGTATTTTTCACGTAACTAATGTTTGAGTTAAGCTTAAAATTCTCCCATCAACCATAGTGCTTTACTCAGCATTTATTGTGGAGTGCAATCTTCTGTATAACTGAAGGTTATAATTTAAGTGTTCAGATTTAAATCACAATAAACAATAATATTTAAAACATTTTGGATGAATTGCTTTTAAGAAAGGATTACACATTTCCCTACCTTCTTTAAAACGTCTCTGTGTAGTGTCATATAATCCTTACTGATGGCCTTACTCTAGATCTGTCTCTATGAATGTGCCCTGTGCAATGGCAGCTCTTAAAGACTCTTGAGGTAGCTCTTAAGGCTTTTTACCTAATGGCCCCAGAAGATTGTGTTTTTGCAGTTCTTTGTCTGCTTTTGCTGTCTCTTCCTACCAAATTAGCTGTTACTTCTTACAACTCTGCCTGTTTCTTTCTAGCAGCTCTTTTCTTTGTGCTTCCCATCCTGACTTGCTATTGGTAATTGGTTGTCAGCTAGGAAAGCAGATAAGTAAATTTATCATGTGCTTAAAAAAAAAAAAAAGGCACCAGAGGCCTGAGTTAAGTGAATGAGCTTTAGCACCCTGAACTTCTTAACATTCTGGTTGCTGAATAATCAGAAAAAAATGTCTATTACTATGCTTGAACTTCGTGGGTGAAATGCAGATATGTGAAATATTACTGACTATTATTGGTAATATAATCGTTTAAAGAGCTAAATTCAGTGACTTACTTTTCTAGTTGCTGTTTGCTTGAGTATGGCCTCATAAGAGTATTCATACCTTGGCTTTAGTGAATATATTTTTGGCTAAAGCTCTTTTAGTCAGGTTGTATGTGGTAGAACTTGGGTTGAGACGTCATCAACATTTAATCAACATTAGTTTTGTTGCTTTGGAGCAGGTTCTGCATCATTTCTAAGGACTCTTAGAGCCTTAATAGTAGGTGTTCCCAGTAGAAGCAGGATGATCACCTTTTCAGCTACTAGTCCTAGGTAGGCTTGTCAGCATTCACAGAAGGTCATTATCTCTTCCTCTAGCTGAACTGGGTTCATCTTCAACTGATAACAGAGAGTAACTGTCCCCGGCACAAGAGTATATTATCTTAACTTCACTGCTGATCGATAAATGTCAGAAGCTCAGTTGAGAGATACGATAGTCTAGGGGGAATATGTGAAGCTTATCTACTCTTGTATTCAGTTTTACAGGTTTATAAAATATATCTCTGGGTCAGTTCAGCTTCAGTGGATACAACAGTTTTCTCAAGGAGTTGTAGCAGTTTGTGTACTAGTGAGCAGTGTATAAGAGTTCTAGTTGCTCTACATCCTTACTAACACTTGAAATTTTTCTGTCGTTAATTTTAGCCATTCTGGTGTGTTTGTTGGGGTGTCACATGGTGGTTTTAATTTGTATTTCCCTGATATCTAATGAACTTAAGCACGTTTCCATAAGTCTCTTGGCCATTGGAGATGCTCTTTTGCGAAGTGCCAGTTCAAGTTATTTATCAACTGGGATCTCTGACTTGTTTGTTTGATGTGTAGTTCTTTGTACATTCTGTATGCAGGTCTTTTGCTGGATATATGTAATGCACATATCTTCTCCCATTTGATGGGTTGATTTTTCATTCTCTGTATATTATGGGGTTTTTTTTTTGTTTTTTGTTTTTTTTGTGTGAGGAGATCAGCCCTGTGCTAACATCTGCCAATCCTCCCGTTTTTTTGCTGAGGAAGACTGGCCCTGGGCTAACGTGCCCATCTTCCTCCACTTTATATGGGACGCCGCCACAGCGTGGCTTGCCAAGCAGTGTGTCCCTGCGCGCCCGGGATCCGAACCGGCGAACCCCAGGCCGCCACAGTGAAGCATGCGCACTTAACCGCTTGTGCCACCAGGCTGGCCCCTGTATGTTGTGTTTTGCTAGCTAGAAGTTCTTAATTGTAAAGTAGTCCATAAATTTCCTTCATGGTTAATGCTTATTGTGACGGACTTAAGAAATCAGCCTACTCCAAAG